CTCTCAAACCCAACTGTAGAAGCAGGAAAGAACCTTCTGCAACCGGAATTAACGGGAAGAGAGGCATTTACTGTATACAACCATAGGAATAGGGTGTTGTCATCCTGAACCCAGAATTACGAGGAGGATCCCAAATAGAATAGGCCCTAATTATTATTTGATCATTGGTTTTATTGAGTGCAGTCTGCCCAGGCAAAAATCATCAGGGGGAAATGCCAGTAATAACATGTATAGTAGTAACAAGTATAGTAACATGGAATTACACTCAGGAGAAAGCCTTCATAAGGTAAAAAGGCAGTGGGGAGTCTGGAGGGATGTCACACAGGAAACAGTGCAATGGGTGACTGCATTTCCCTATCTTCAAAAGCAGACCAAACCTGATTAAAGAATCAAAGGATCGGCAGGTGGGATCCGTAAAGAAGGTGTTAAGATTAGGGAAGCTGAAAAAAAAACATAAATGAAAGGAAGCAATAAGACTGACCCCAGGCAAAGCTGAATGGATGTGTGTAGAATCGTCATGGGAAGAAGACGATATCCACCAGAGGAAGACATAGCCAGATCTAGAAGATAATGAACGAATGTATTGAGAGGAATTCACATTCCAGCTGAACGATCTCCTTCAAAATATGACAAAAGCAAACAGCAAAAGACATAGTAATTGATGATTTTGATGGCAAGTCCAAATGAGCCAGCCGGATGAGTTGACAAATCAAACCAGTGAGAATAACAGGTCACAGAACACTGAAAACTGAAGGGTTCCAGGGAATAAGAAGTCAGAAATGCAAATCCTGAAATGAGGCAGAACATGCCACATACCAGCTGAAGGAGCAAACTGGACAAGGAAGTCTACCTGGATAAGCAACGAAGTACAGGTGGGAAATGGGTGTGGAAATCAGAAAACAGTCACTTGCAGAACAGGTCCTAGGGAGGTAGGACTGAAGTTGGGATAAAGGATGACATAGGAGGAATGGTAAGGATGTGGGTAACATGAATGGTATAAAAATCTGAATGACGACAACCATAAGTAAGGAGGAGAAGGTAAATGGAACATTAAGACAAAGGATGAAATGTAGGATGAGAAAAGGCATAAAGGACCACAGTGAGATCCCAATAGGCAAAGCAAAGGAATGGGAAGGGGGAAAAGGAGAGAGGAAGACAAAACCCAGATGAAATGGAAGGAGATAGACAAGGCTGCCAAAGAGCTGGACACAGACGAAATGGACAACCCTTTGTTAAACTAATGGGTGAAGAATAGGGACAGAAGAGTAGGAAGCCCAGAAACCATGATGAAGAGACCAAAGTCAGAGGTATACTAACATTAATGGAAAACGGACATGGAAGAAAAGATGGAAAATGTGGAGTCAAACCCTGGGCTGAGACAAAACCATGCATGAAGACAGAGTGACAATAACTGTGTAACTAGAGACCACTTTGTGATGAGAATCTTATTGGAAAATAATTGAACTACAACCAGATGGAATGAGCCAGAAAAAAGGCAAGTGAGGACCACAATGTGGTGAAAGTGGGCTCAGAAAAGAGAGCCAAGATCTAAAAGCACAGAGACCAGAAATCGGTACCCTCTGGCTCAGTGACATAGGAGAGGAAGGAGATGGGACAAAGCTCGATCAAACACCAAATGCTTGAGAAAGGTTATATGAAGAAAGTCCTTGATTGACCAGAGACTGGAAATCTCCCAAGAGTTAGGTAAGAGCCTTAGCCCCCTAAAGAGGAGTATATGAACAGACATAAATGCTAATGAGGCAGAGTAAACAGCACCCCTGCCACAGTCTGGACTCTGTTCAACTGCCAAGCTAGGGATCCCAAGGAGAGTTCCACCGATCAAGGGAATGCATATGAGTCCAACCCATGGGAATGAAAGTTGGACTCATGGACATCCATATCTCCAAAGAGATAAAACATACCGAGCCATTAGAAAGGTAAGAGACGTGAACTACTCAGCCCAAACCCGAAAACAAAGAGAAGGCTTGGCCCAACTGAGGTTGGAAAGAAAAACATCCCCAAATGAATTGGGTATTGAGAGAGAGTCAGAACAGACTTCCCCCTTGTCATAATGAAACCAACCCATTTTGCATCTTGTAGAAGCAGAGGAGTGAGGACTCTGGACTGAGAATGGAAGCAAGCAAGCAGGAGCCAGTCAAACTAGAGAAGGAAGAATGCAAAAAACATAGAGTGAAAAAGTAAGGCAAAAGTTTGCATTCCATGACAAAACAGGTGAAGAGCTGTCGAGGATCACAAACATGAGAAAAAGAACCGAACCTAAGCTCACCCCTACGAACAGGAAAGAAACAAACACGTCAGTGAAGTAACAAGGCAAAACTTTAAGTCCCACACTGACGAAATTAGGAAGGGACAGCACAATTGAACCCTCATGAAAAAATTCAATAGAACAATGAATAGATATTACAAGTACTAATGATATGTAATGTACCAAGTATCGAAACATACCAAGTAAACAAAGGACTGACAAGCATCAAATGGGCAAAGTATTAAAATTTTTCTAGTCCACAAAGAATGTAAAAATAATGAATGTGCCAACTGACAGAAATTACCGAGAAAACACAATAATAAGCAATATCTAAGGTACCAGGCAGAGAAAGTAACCTAGACGATAAGGACATAGAATTAAGTCCTACATGACTAAAATTAGGAGAAGGTACATACTTAATTAACAATTAAGAAACAATTATTCAAAGAATCATTTGTTACTAGTAGTAATGATATGTAAAATACAAACAAACCAAAAATACACAATTAAAAAAGTATTTATATATGAAATGGACAAACTATCTAAATGTACCCAGTCCACAAAGTATGTAATAAGAATGAACGTGCAAACAATTACTAACAAAACATAAATAGTCAATATCTAACATACCATTTCACAAAATTAACCAAGATGACAAAAGACCTGTAATGAAGTCTGACACCGACGTAAATGGGGATGAGAAGGTACATAGTTAACAACTATGTTAAAAAAAACAAATAGAAAAATGAATTATATGTTACTAGTAATGATAAGATACAAATTATTCAAACATACCAAGTTAATAAAGTACTTATAAATAGGAAAGGGCAAACCATTTAAGTGTACCTAGTCTATAAAATATGTGATAATAACGAAGGAGAAAACTGACGAAAATTAACTAGAAAACACCCGAATAAGCAATAACTAGCTTACCATACATCAAAATTAACCTAGACGACAAAGGCCACTGAGTAAAGTAGCATACTGACGAAAAATGGGAATGAGAAGGCACATATTTAACAATGATGAGAAAAAAAATTACACAAACGGTACAATGAATTAGATGTAACAAACAGTAGTAACAAACACACAATCAAAAAATACCTTGGGAAAGTACTTATTAAAAACAAACTAACAAAAAAATGTAAAATTAACAAACATGCATAATGTTTAAAGATACCTAAATTACAAAGTAATAATCAATATCTAATGTACAATTAAATTAAAGTAACATAGATAACAAAGTACATCTAAATATCTAACTTACCAGAATCTGGACACTGATGACATGAAATATGTAATTTTCCAATGTGTAAAGAAGGGGAAAGTCACGCAAAGGGCGTCAGAACTGGGCCTACCACAGGTATATCAATCTGATGTGAAGCATACATGCTAGAAACTTACCACAAATCTACTGGGAGAACTTGAAGTTAGAGGAAGAAAGGAGGAGAAGGACAAGTCTCCCCAGATAGCCAGCAATTGGGGAAGGTGCCTGAAAAAGGAAAGACTAAAGTGGCAATTTAATGAGTGTCCTCTTTCTCAGAAACGGTGTCATGTTGAAAAGGAGTAATCACAGGCCGACCATAAGATTCTAACTCCCTGCAAACCAAGGCATGTACTTCCTCAGCATATAAAGTCTACCCTGTGTCCTGGGATGTTGTGCCATGTGCATTGTTGCCTGTCGTGAATATGTCATTGCCCGCACAGGAAACCTCAAATTTATACTAAAACATGTAGAAAAATCGAGAACGAGAATATTTTGAAAGCGAGTTTGTGGAAACAAATGAAATCAAACAAGAAAATTAGAAATTATTGAACAAACTTCATCCGAAACAGCAACAAGGCACAAGCAAAAACTGTAGTCACACTTGGAAAAATTAAACACACATCTGAACTGTGTCATGCCAATCAAGAAAGTGAAGATTGAGCAGGAATAGCAGAGAGAGCTAGCAGTACTGTTATAGGTGGAACAGTACTATTGGTGGAGAGTAGTCACATAATATGTACATTTTCAGAAATGGTGCAAAACTGGTGGGGTATAAACAGTGATGTGGTGATTATTAAAAATTATTTTAGCATTGTTTAGGGGGTACAGGTTGTCCATTTTGGAATTGAAAGTTCTGAACATTTTTTAAATGTGCATCACCTTTTGCATCAGTTCTCAAGGCTTATGATATTACGCGGTGCACAAAAATTTTGCACATGTCTGCCAGATACACCATATTATTCCTCGAGGGCACTGTTGACTTGTGTTGAGATGAATAATAAGTGGTGAAGGACAAGAAAGGAAAATAAAACATTAAAAATTAACTATATGTGGAAAGGAAAAGACCTGAAATTACAAACTTAACAAAATGAAAATCTTTAAAGATATTCTACAAAATGTTATTCTTTTTGTACAAAATACTTATAAACTTTAACAAAATCTTACGAGGTTTTGTGAGGATCGCTCAGAGTTATTGTATATTTTTTGCATAAATGTCCTTCCCCAGTTGAAGTGATACATACTGCAACAGCCCAAGGCAAAAGGATTAATTATAATTCCAAATTTACTGGGTGTACCTTTACAAAATTTAGCATCACACGTTGATGATAATAGCTGGAGTTAGTGATATGGTAGAGAAAATGAAAAATAAATTATATAAACATTTACCTTAAAAAACGTTTTGATATTCTTTTAGGAGGCTCTAGAAGTTATGCAAATGAAATATGAAAATTATAAGATGAAGAAAAGTATTTTTATACTTAAAATGAAAATCACCTTGACCTCGAACTATTTTAACAGTTTGAGTGCAAATAACTATTTTGCATAAATAACATTTTTTTAGAAAGATGTAAATAAAATGTTATTCTTTTTGTACAAAATACTTATAAACTTTAACAAAATCTTACGAGGTTTTGTGAGGATCGCTCAGAGTTATTGTATATTTTTTGCATAAATGTCCTTCCCCAGTTGAAGTGATACATACTGCAACAGCCCAAGGCAAAAGGATTAATTATAATTCCAAATTTACTGGGTGTACCTTTACAAAATTTAGTAAGCTTTTAGTAAACAATACAGTTATGTTGTACACAAAAAAACAAACAGAATTTTTAATGAAGTATTGTAAGTAAATTGTTGATTACGAATTTAATGAGTCAACCGACTCAGACTCTCACTAGTCTGAATGCAAGGTGATTTTCATGTTAAAATAATAATGCTTTTGCTTACTACAATGAATGAATATTGTAATAGACAACAACTTTAAGCTTCATAACTTTTCATGATTTCTTTCATATAATTTTATTGTTTTCTAGCTCTTTGAACCATCTCTAGCTAATATAACAAGCTATAAGTCACACAGTGAGAGTGATGAGAATTCAGGGTAAACACAGTTTCAGGTTACTACATGCCATGTCTAACAGATCTTTAGCATACTTTACTAAGACTGCTTTCTTTACACTGCAGTAGAACCTTGATTAACAGGCACCGTGCCATTAAGGGCAGACCTTTTCAGTCTCATTCTTTTTTCAACTATTTGTAACCAAATTAAATATTGCAATAATGGCCAACTTACCAGACAGTTATCTTTGTATGCCTGTACAGTATACTGCTAAATTTCAATCATCCCAGAAGGATGACTAATATTAAACAAATGCAATGTCTATTGGATCAGCTCCAACCCATATACTGTTACAAACATTTTCACAGATTCAAAGTACAATCTTATTACTCTGGGGAATTCTCATTGTAAGCACTGTAGGATACGTAAGCTAATAAATTCCACATCATGTTCTTCGAGCAGGGATCAAGTCAGCTTATTTCTTGTGCACATGCTTTGTTACTCTTGAGAGTATCGTATTATGGAGTCATGTAAACAGTATAATGACACAAGTGGTGATTTGTTGCATTATTTTCAGCAGATTTCTACTTCAGTTGTTGATAGTAAAATAAGGACAGAAAATAAATGCGAAAAGTTTAGGAGCTTAAACTCTGAAAAGAAGTAACTTTGTGACCAATAACAAAGAAAAAGGGCACAGCTTATCCACTCCCTGAGACTTCCTATTGACAATACTCCATGTCATGGCAACATGCAACTTACAAACACATGTATCCTGCATACACCAAACAAGATGGAGTGCCATAAAATTCAGAAATTTAGTACGATCAATATGAAATCCAGCTTTGCGTGGCTCATTTTTTATATTAAGGGCACCTTGCTATAGTCATTTGGACACAGTAGGAAGGGTGCTGTTAATGTCGAGGTTGTACTGTATTTTGTTTGTTCAAAAAAATTATTCATGTAGCTTTCAAATATGCATTTGAAAACACAAACAATAATTCAAACAGTAAAACAGAATACCCAAAACTACTATAATTTATCTGGCTTTATAACTAACCTATAAATACAAGAGGTGTCCAAAAAGTTTATAGATCAACCTGTAAAGAAAAGAGACTGATTCAACTATGATTCATCTTTCAGCATAATATCCTCCTGAGTCTATACATTTGTGCCAGCAGTGTGCTAAGGCCTTTACGCCCTTCTAAAAAACTTTTCTTCTTGGTCTTCAATCCATGACTGAGACAGTATGTACGAGATCATCCTCACTTTGAAATCTCTGACCTTTCTGAAAGATTTTAAGGTTAGGGGAGAGAAAAAAAGTCACTTGAAGCTAAATCCAGTGAGTAAGTGGATAATTGAGTAATTAGAAGCCAGCACCATGGATAGTGTTCACAGCAACATGTGATTTGTCAGCTGGGGAATTGTCCTGATGCAAGAGCCCAATTCTTTTCTCTTTCCTCTGATTTGTTGAAGCAATTTCTTGATTAACAATACATAGTAATCTCTTGTAATGGTATGACCCATTTTTAATTGATCAATTAGAAACTACCTTTGGTATCCCAAAAAATTGATGCCATGACATTCCCAGAAGAGGGTTGTGACTTGAACTTCTTTTGAGTGGGTGAGCTTGAGTGTATCCATTTCTAATTTTGCATTTTTGTCTCTGGGTCAAAGTGGTGAACCTATGTTTCGTCCATAGTTAGGAATCTATTGAAATCTTTGGAGGAGGCACTGGTTTTCAACAACTCGGATATGTTTCTGCTCAGGTGAAAATATTTTTGGAACCCATCTGGCACTAACTTTACTCATGCCCAAACTCAAAATGCTTGCTATAGTACTTTTACTGATTTTCACTTCCTCTGTTAACTTCCTAATGGTAATTTTTCCATCATATATATATATAAGAAAATCCTAAACTTTATCTATAATTTCTTTTGTGGTCGACATTAAGGGCTGACCTGACCTCAGATTGTCTTCACATGATTGTCTACCTTGCTTAAACTCACATTTTATCACTTTTTTCACTGTTGAATAAGCCAGAGCACCCTCTCTTAATGTTGCTTCCATGTCCTGGTGGATTTTTTGCAATGCAATTTTCTTTTTTAATAAAATATGTGATCACATCATGAAGTTTGACCTTCTCTGTGACATTTAACATTGTTCACTTCTTTCCTTCAAAAATTAACATTTTCTAACACTGAAAATGTATTTCCGATATGTACTTAGCTTCTCTCACCCAAATCTATCTTAACCTTGATTTGCCCTCTAATCATTGCTAATCCAACAGTGCAGCAACAATATACTAGCTCCCACGATCCTTACTTTCAAGATTTGGCAGATACAAACTAGAAACACTGGCATATCAGTGGGGAGGAAGGGCAAGAAGGGGGGTGAGAGGAGGTAGTACCATTTTGGAAGTTAACATTTTCTAACACTGAAAATGTATTTCCAATAGGCACTTACCATTTTGGAAGTTAACAATTTCTAACACTGAAAATTTATTTCCAATAGATACCTACCTCCTCTCACTCTATGTACAGTAAGGCATATAGGGTGGAACGTAACAGTCAGGCACCATGTCCTGTAATACAGATTCTGCCCATGGATGACAAACAGTACCTAAGTCATCCACATATAGAACATGTGTAAGCATGTGACATAAAGACACAAAAATGTGATGTGAAAAGAAAAATCATTGGCCGAACGTAAGACACGAAATCCCTGCGAACTAAAGCCTGTGCTTCCCCAGCAGACTGTCGACCCTGAGATCTGGGGACTAGTGTCAGAACCATTGTCTACTTATGGCGGGAATTTTATCATTCACCATTTGGAATCTGGAATTCATATGAACAAATTAGAATTCAGAAAACAGAAATATTTCTAAAACAAACGAGAAGAAACAATGGAAATCAAATACAAGAAATCAAAACTTGAAATTAAAACTGATATAAATATGCGATCAAACACAATCAAAATTGTGTAGTCACATGGAGAACAAGTTAAAACACAAATCTATACACTAGAATGCCAATCGAGAAAGTGAGGATTGTGCTGGAATGGTAGAGGGAGCTAGTATGTTTGGTGGAGGGTAGTCATATGATCAGCACAAATTGCTAAAATGGTGCAAAAATAAAGGGGTATAAAAGACTGGTGCACTTTTGGAAATTTTAGCAATGTTTAGAAGACAAATCAAGGTCAAGTTACTAGAAGATGTAGAACTGTTTTGGAAATCTGCAACACACAAAATAAGCTCTGCAATTTACATGCTGTTTTCTCATAAAAAGTTGAAACTTAATAGTTATCAGGAAAAACATACATTCCAGTTTTTTAAAGTCATGCCATGAACGTTTTGGACAACCCTCATAGGTTTAAAAATTTTCCTTACTTATCAGAGCACTGACTTTGGTTTATACTCAATAAAATCTGCTTAATAAATGGTGTCTTGAACCAAAATAAATTAATATAAAGACATCATAATAATCCTTGCATACTGGATTATTCTCTCAACTTTTGTTTTTTTAAAACAAAAGAAATATGTTAAAAATTTACATATAACCTAAGTAAAGCAGTTAATTAAAACAGGTACAAGAAAGAACCCTCATGACTATTAAAGGTTTCAAAGAGCTGTAGACTACACTACCTAAATAATTATACACAATTAGCTCTTTTAAGTCAGCATTTTATACTTGTGTAGAGAAGCACATTGTGGTAATATAGTAGTAAGTTAACAAAAAACGATTTGTAAGTGCAATGTTTTTAAAAAAAAATTCATTTTATCATAAAAACACCTTGGAATATTTTCTTTTAATTATAACAGATTATATTCTGCAATCAACCTAAGCACAGCAATTGTCTGCATTATCCCTTTTTTCTTAGTTGTCATAGAAATATATGAAATACCACTACAATTCTACCTCTTCCTTTCCTTTCTCCAAAACAATAAAAATTCATATATTAATATACTTTGTACTATTTTGAGCTTATTTCATTTAAAAGTTTTGAAATATCAATGAAAAGAATTAAGCTTACTTACCCTTGATTCTTTCCAAGAATAACCCCAACCAAAAGATTAGAAATACCTATCCCTATCATCTGGATAGAGGTGGTTAATCCCATAGCTGTACCAATTGTTGCTCTTGAAACAACTAAAGGAATGGATGGCCATAAGCTTGCCTAAAATCAGAATTTAAACTTGGCTGTAACATGCTTCTCTAAATAATTAAAAAATAAATATTATTTTGATAATTTAGTACCTATGAATAAACAACTTACAAAAATCAATGTTAAGTTTATGATAAAAATACACTATAAAAAGTGAACGTTTATACTTACAATATGCAGTTATCATAGAAATTCACATAATCAACAAGAATCCACTAAAAACAATCATGACAAACATAGCTCATTTTTTAAAGTTTTCCTAATAACTATGTGCCAGACTTTACAGTTAAACTTCTCAAATCAAAAACAATTACATATGAAACATTTTTATTTCTATATATAAATGTATATATATATATCTAAGCAACATAAAACGTTTCACATGAAAATGAACCAACACAATATTTCTAAGTAAAAATGTTACAGTTTAGTTTAAGCATAAACTTACTGCTGCAACTGAGTAAGTAACACCTAACCACAGTGTTGACACGAGTGGATAAACATTAGTAAAGGCAAGAAGTCCAAAAACAGGAATAGTAAGGACTGCACACAAAACTGCCATAACTCCTCGTTTCCCAACGACATCCTATACAAATCATGAAAAATCATATTATATTCTTAACAACATAATAAGATTCCAAAATTAATGAAATACTTGATTTCTGATGTCATCATAGGCGCCTGCAGGAAGGAGGGGGGGGGGGGGTCGACTTGACCTGCACCCCTGGATTTTCAAAAAGAAAAAACATTTACTAGATATGTAAAATCATTCTTCTATGTTATTGGAAAATCATAAGGTATTTGTATTTCGATTTCATAATTTTTTCAAACTTGAGTTACTTGACACCCCATAATTTTTGTTCTGCGGGCACCCTTAGATGTCATTTATATTTTTTATAAAATGTTCTAAAAATTTATTTCTACTCAAGAAAGTTAGTATGTAATGTGTACATATACATCAAAGCCTCTATAACTAGGAATATGAATAAGTCTTTATTTACATAGTTTTTCAAAAACTTTAGTAAACATTTCTGTACTTAGTCACCAAGTTCCAGGTTAACTGGATGTACCCAACCTAGAACTGTATTAATCCTGCCCTTAGGTGATCACATGGTTGAGAAACCAGTTATTTTCTCTATATATGGCCTGAATATAACTAAGTCATAACTGAAGTAGATCTTAATGGCTATTAAGTTTGTTCAATATATATAGATATACAGAGGCTGGAAACCTTGGCTTCTTTTTCAGTTAATGGTGTTAGTTGAATGACAAAGATGATACATCATTCTATAAAGTTCTGATATAGCTTAAGTTTTAATATAGTTTTAAGTGAAGTTAGTTCTTAATCAGAATTTCCCTGTTGTTGGTAAGATTTGACTTGTATTTTGCTCATACACAAAAAAAGCCAACCACAGAGTGAACAGTACTGGATTCATTGCAGATATTTTCACTTTCCATAGACACGTTTTGTAATAAGAATGCTTTGTTTTCTAACAGTAACTTTCCATGTCCATTCTCTTTATTTGCAATAGAATTTGGCACTCTGCATACAGATTCCCTCAAGTTTCTTGTAACTGTGAATTCATTTAGCTTATTTGTTGGTATAAAGTGCTCTTAGAATACCTAAATTAAATTTTTCTTATCTTCAAGATGCTTCAGAATTAACTTATTCAGTGTATATTCATAAATGTAACATTTTACAGATATTAAAATTTAATACACTGTTAGTTACTTACTCTGACTTCTTTTTAAATTAGTTAGTTTGATTTATTTTAAAAAAACTTTTTGGATAAAAATATAGATGTGAATAACTGTACTTTACATAAATAGATATATTTTCAGTTTATAAGTGATTTTTTGATGGGCTAAACAGCCTTCTCTTAGCTTACCTTTATTTACTTTCCTATTCTTATAATAATGTGAGCAATTAAAAAAAATACAATTACAATTTGCTATCAAACAAGACTTTTCAATGAAGGGAATAAGAGCTTCCAAGGAAGCCCACATCCCCAAAAGATAGAAGCTCTTGTGCAGAGAGAAAAGGAGAAGGTAGGGATATCATGACTGCCCACTCCATATCCTGAAGCTGAAGTGGAGAAGGCTGGGCTCAACTGAGACGGAAAGTGAAGAGAACCCCCAAATGAATAAGATACTGCGAGGATGTAGTAAAAGACTTCTCCAACTTGATGAGAAACCTCACCCAAGCAGCTTCTCAAAGAAGAAAGTGGATGTGAGTGACTGATTGGGTACAGGAAGAGGCAAGCAGAAGCTAGTCATCCATGAAATGGTGAGTCTGAAGATCCAGTGAGTGAAGATGATGTGCAAAAGAGCATACCACTCGACAAAACACATAAGGAACTGAAGAAAGACAGAACTGAGTGTTCACAACTGGAAGACAGAACCCTCATAAACGAACCAAAGAAACAAAAAAGACATGACACTGGGGCAAAATACCAACTGAAGTGAGAGGTAGGACTCCATGGTGAAGCAAGGCATCTCCAGATAAGGATACAGCCAGGACAGAGCAATGATGAGACTCCAAACTCCCGTTTTTTTCGACAAAACAAAGATGGGAGTAAAATCCAAGTTCAGTGGGCACCACCCATTTGATTGCTCCTTAGTATAGTAGGACTTAAACAGATTCAGCAAGATGACTGGACAAGATACAATCCCTATGAGGAGGGAAGGAAATCTGGGAAGTGTATAAAAGAAGCCCCATAAACCATGGAACTGTCATGAAATTTAGTCAAAAAGACACATAAACTAAAGAATTTAGAGAAAGTACTTATTACTAACAAACAAAACTTAGAAACATGTAGAGTTTACAAAATACATAAAAAAAACCCTACAAAACTGAAATTTGACCTAAAACATAAAACAATAAGTAACACCTAAAGTACAAAACCACTAAAGGAACTGAGAAGATAAACAATCCTCAAATATTGAATGTATAAGTCCACTCAAAGAATCTATAAGACAAAGGACACTAAAATAAAACCTACCCTGAAGAACATTAGAATAAAAAGGTATCCAGTTAATAATAACAAAGTTTGACTCAAAACCAATCCCCAATTAGATGTAACCAGTAGTAAAGAAAATATATACACATATAACATTAACACTAAAAAGAAGTAAAAATTTATACAAAAATAAAGGAATAAACAAACTCCAAATGCGAGTTTAAACTAAAGTAACCTAGATGGTAAAAGAAAAAAAACTAACTTACCCAACACTGAGCTGAGAAGACATGAATGATCTAAATTATCGACTGCAGAAATTAGATCCATCCACACTAGCTCACATAAACTCACTGAACATGGGTATACTTAAATACACACTGAAAATCTTACCACAGATCGCTTGGGAAAAAGAACAATACCTAACCCAGCAGATGATATGGAGGCACGGTAATAGGTGGAAAGTGCCATCGAAAGAAAATTTCCACACAGAAGAAAGGAAATGTAATGTGAAAGGAAAAATCCTCGACTGAACATAAGACATGAACTCCCTGTGAACTAAAGCCTGTGCTTCTCCAGCAGACATCATCAACCCTAAAACCTGGGGACCAGTGTCAGAACTATTGTCTACTTATGGCAGGGTTTTATCATCTGCCATATTAAATCTCAAAGTAAACTTCGAAAAGCAGAAACATTTCAAAAACAACCGAGTAGAAACAATAGAAATCAAACACAAGAAGTTGAAACTGATATATTTTTGTGATCAAACACAATAAAAATTTTGTAGTCAAATGGATCTATACACTAGAATACCAAGCAAGAAAGTGGGGGATTGTGCTGGAATGGTAGAGGGAGCTAGTATAGGTGGTGCAGCATGATTGGTGGAAAGTAGTCATATGATCAGCACACGTTGCTCCAATGGAGTAAAAATGAAGGGGTATACTAGACTGGTGTGCTGTTGAAAATGTTAGCAATGTTTATGGGAAACCAAGGCTGAGATAGCTTTGGGTGAATGGAGGTAGTACCATTTTGGAGGGAACCTAGTTCAAGAGGAGATAAATCTAGTTATGTATGTTTTAAAGACTTAATTTTAATATTACTAATTAGGAAGAGAAAATGTCTACACTTTTATTATTGTTATAGCAAATAGCACTGATATAAATGCATTACTTGCATAGCTTCACTGCACATAAGTAAATGAATACACAATGTAGATGGTGTATCCGTCTATTTAAAAGCCAGGGCTTTGTACCAGCAAGTTCTCATTTTATACAGATGTGCATAGAAACATTCTCTTTGTAACTAACATAATTCACACATTTCTGTTTCATGAAGTTTCTAAGTTCAGCCTCTTCTTATTATACAGGTTGTGTGCACTTGTTTGAGAGCATCACTCATTCAAATTATCAATTTTCTTTAAAACTTTATCATTTCACCCAAAATCTATTTGTATATCAGAGCTCAACATTAACATTACTTTGGGACAAGTAAGAAATGCACTGGACTAGTTGCCAACATAACACACTAGTTTTAAAAGGCTTAACACTGAGTATCTGTTTTATTTTTACTTTTTGATATACTCATATTTTTGATTTGTTGTTTTTCTCCTGGCAAAATGGTGTTATTAGTTTCTCAGCTCAACATGCTAAAATTGTTTATTTCCAAAAGCAGAAAAGAAATTAATTTAACAACCAACAGAAAATCATTTTCTTTCTCTGAAAGTTCAACATTGGCACACTGCCAAGTTTGTTGTTTTCACAACTCTAAAATTGCAGTATAGTATTAGTGCAAATCATTTTGAATATGTATGTAACTTATACTTACAACAGATTAAATATTGTTTAGTAATTATCTAAAATATTTAGATTTTGAATATTTTAATTACTTTATATGTAGATGGCAAGTCTTAAACAAAAATATTGTTTTGTGTAGAATTTTTTTAACAAATAATTTCCATGTGACTAGCCCTTAGCTAGTGACTTATTCCCGTCACAAACCCAAATGGGCTAGTAGCTTAATAAAAGGATTAATATAGAGGAATTAACATGATATATATATATAACATGAAATACTGAAATAACACATCAACTTCATTTCCAATTAAAGCAGATTTAATGATCATTGTGATTAGGTTTGTGAGAATTAAAGACCACTCAAGTAATGTACCAAATCACCCACAACTTCAGGTTGTTCTGAAATTATATTTACTGGGTAACTAAAGTGATTAATAATTGGCATGCAACTATCACCAGTAGTTTTTACCCCTGGTCAACTGGTGCTTTGCTGACACTGAGCTCAATTAACAAATCCTTGGATTATTTTAATAACAATCAAAATCATATTCTGACCCAGCACATTTGGACGTAAGTAAAACAGGAAGACAACCAAATCTTTTTTGTATCATTCAATGTATAAAATTAAAAATGCATTGGCTGTAGAGAATGTGATTTTTGGTGGTAACTATATCAAAAGTAGTAACATATTCAATAACAAATAACTATGCAACTACTGGAAATATTTTATTGCCTTTTCTATATTGACCTATAGTAAAGTTTAGTGCATCTATTGTGGATATGCTTTTTGGACTTTAATACATGAGACTAGTGTATTGAAGTGTTACCATATAAGCAATTACGCTGATGATAATACCGAAAACTTATTTGGTGCTCTCATTACAGACAGAGATTATTTAATTTTTAATGCTGTCATTAGGGAAGGGAGGAATAATGTAGTACTTATCAACTTGGGATTGGAAACCAGAATATCTATAGGAATAAAGTGTGTGTAATATGCTTTACTTGTCATTAATTTGATTCATGAATTGTTTCAATACAACACCCTTCTCTACTTATAATTAAATGTAATTTTTTCCACTCATATTACAAAAAAATAGTACTAGATATTTTTGACATTTATTACATGTCACATGATCTGACACTCACCTATCCACTTTAGCATAGAGACAAAATTCAAGTTAAGGAAGAAGAACACACAAGACAAGTCAAAGAAAATCATTTTAAAATTAGCAGTGCAAAAGGAGACAGATGAACAGTTGCATATGCATAACAAATGTAACAACCATATCAAAGAAAGAGTACAATGTCAGGTTGAGAAAATCTCTAGCTTCATAATTTTTGTTAGACTATTTATAAAAATATGCAGCACTTCATGATTTTAACGTTAACCCTTTAACAACTCTACTTACTTTTGAAGTAGGTTACATAACTCTCATGAAATTTCTTTACAAAAATGAAACTACTGGATGAAATTGTGTGAAATTTGACAAGGATCTTCCTAAAAGCATGTAGTATCAGAAAAATAAAATATTTAATTTTAGTTTTTTCTACTATTTCAACTAAAATTTTTTCATTTAATGTAGTTATTTGCTCTCAGACTCTGAATAGTTCACCTGCAAGGTAATGTTCATGTTAAGTATAAAAATACTAATTTTTATCTTGAAGTTTTCATATCTCACTTGCATAATCTCTAGAACCTTCTAAATTAATATCAATATTTATATTTTATTTTCCATTTTCTCTACCATATCACTAATTCTCACTATTATCATCAACGTACAGTGCAATGAAATACTTAAGATTAAGAAATAGAAATATAAACATACCTTTTATCTCTTCTTTGAATAATCTTAAAACATTTGCTTCGGGTCATGTGCATAATTTCACATCTTTACCTTTTCACTTATTGTGTATTTTTAAGTTTTATTTTCCTTTCCCATTCTTTATCTTTGAGTATTTATGTTGACATATCAACAGGTGCCCACAGGAGATATAACATTATTATCGGTAGAGACGGTTTAGCTTTCAGCAAAATTTATTTGCAGTCTCTCAGTTCTTGCTAAACTGGGTAACACTTGTTGAGCGAGGCAAAGCATTGAATACATTTTTAAAAACCATTAAACCTATCAATCATGGATTTTAAAATACGTAATGCATAATTAACTAAAATATAAAAGTAAAACCTAAATGCAATTTAACTGTCTACCAAACTAATATGTATAAGGCAAGAAAAAATAGCCAAGCACTAGGGACACCACTGTCAACTATGGACTAAGCTTCATTTAAACTTCCTTTGTAAAATGCAAAGATTGCCTAACTTTCCTGCCCTCATTGCAACATATAGCATGAAATTTGCTCTTTATATTGGTTATAAGCATGCCATTCAAGTTAAAACTGTCGTTTAGCTACACAGCTTCTACTTTAAAAGTAGGAATGGCTCATCTTGACCTGAGGAATGTTTACAAAGGTTTCCTCTGAAACAAGCTCTTTAAATGTACTCAAATTACTGGTAAACAACCTACGTACATGTACTTTGATCATCTACATTACACACATTAGTTTCTTCTTTATATCAGCTCTAAAGTTCAGATTTTTAACCATGAGCACATCATGTGACAACAAAATTGAAGTTTTAATTATTGTTTTAGAGGTTTCTTTTGAAATAAAGGAATAAAACTTAGATAATATAAAACTTTGAATTATAACATACTTGATAATAATAATTTCATTAAAATACATTGATAGTAAAGTGGTTTAATTAAATTTTGAACATAATTGAGTAACATGCACAGAAAGGGGTTGAAAAATGGCATCATCATAGGGTTAAAAAGATAAATTAGCAGGGGTGTAAAACGGGCTACATATATTTGTTTTCAGGCGACTCTTACAACACACATGATAAATGTTCTTTTAACATGGGCATTAACTGGTAGCTTACTTTTTAATGATTAACAATTAGAATCACATTCAAAATAAAATTATTTTGATTAATAACTATAATGACACTTCATTTAAGTTTTATAGGATTTATGCATCACACAATTAATGTCAGAAGAACAGTAAAGGCCAGTAGTGTTTCTAAAATGATACCAAGAACTTGCATCTTGGAAAGTGCAGTATTCTTAGCATAGTACATACATATTCAGCATTTAAAAGACTCACCCAAATTGTAAACATGTGACAACAATCTCCAAAGTAGACAGTTTAGTTCAACATGTGACTTATATTTAGCTAAATACTTTAATATCTGTATTTTTCTATTATTCTTTTTTATACATCTTCTATCACACACATAAACTAATTTAATTACTGAAATTTTGAAAAAGTTATATTTGAACATATTCTATTAAGTTTTATCTCATATCTGCTATACATATTCAAAAATCTCAATCTTTTTAAATGAATAATAAAATTTCTGCATGATTTTATTTCATGATGTTTGTTTGTTGTTAAGCACAAAGCTACACAATTGGCAATCTGTGCTGTGCCACCATGGGTATTGAAACCCAGTTTTTAGCATTGTAATTATTCAGACTTATCGCTGAGCCACTGAGAAGCATTTTATGATGTTATTCTTTTGTATATAATTTGGCTAAAATAACTATGACACACCAATATTTCATACATATAAAATTTATTTATCCACATTTCCAAATAGAGTGCCATTAGCAATAAAGAGTTTAAAATACAGCTCATTTTTTAAAATGATTTCTTTCCATGTAATTCCTTATATTATTCAATTCAGAGTCATTCCTGTCAGGGTATGCTTTATCAATGTTAGTGATTTGTGATAAATAATTTTGATTCTTTTCAATTTTGAACAATCTGTCTTAATATTTTTTAGGTCAGTGTTAGTCCTCTGAGGCTATTTCTACTGTAATAAGTGCTTTTAATTTTTCAATGATAAACCTTTCAGAGTTGTTCCAAATCTTTTTTTTTTTGGTCTTGGTTCATCCATTGCCAGTCAAAATGAATTTGTCCCTTCTTCTTTCTGAACAAGTACAGTAGTGTAATACTTCATCAAACATTTTTCAGCCCTATTTCTTTCCATGCCATTACATTCTGCATTATGATGTCTTTTCTTACTGAATATAATGCTATGTATTTTATTGTCTTTACTTATCCTATTTTCTAAAAAAATTATAATTCCTAAATATTTACTCAGTAATCCCTAAATCTTTACTTATTATATTGTGAAAAACCTCCACTTACTATAATTCCTCCAAGAAATGGTGACATAATCATCGATACATCATACACTGCTCCTGCCACATAGGATGCTGATTTGGGGTCATACCCATATTTGTCTTGAATAAACTTGCTGTAACAAATAGAGCACAAATCATTTGTAATAATATTAGGTGGAACTTGCAATATATTAAAGACCTTTAGAAAAAGTGAAATTTCCCTTTTCAACAATCACATTTTTTCCTATTGTGACATAACAAATGCCATTTAATATAACAAACCTAATATATTTATAATGAAACTTCCAAAATGATTTCTGTATCATCATTTGACTATCTTGAGCATTATATGAAAAACAAAAACCAGCCTTTCATAACTGTTTTATCAAAAAAGAATGTAGCATTTTAATTTTTATGTAATTCCTGAAAAATATACCAAAAAGCAAGTTTCTTATATCTTGAAGTGTTTTCAATTTAAATGTAAAAAACAAAACAATAAACTGTTAAATAATTCAAGGACTTGAGACTTGATTTTCAGTGTTTTAATATTTTCTAGTAGGAATATTTCTTCATCAAAATTCATACAAACAAAATAAGTTTAGATTTAAATTATTTATTTACTATGGTTATAATTATGAAAATAAAAGGAAACTATTATAAACAATTTTTCACTGGATCTACCATAATATCATTAGGCAGAAACATACATATACTTAAAAACTAATAAGTAGAAAGTAATAAGGGACTTGCATGACCACCATGTTGAATTTTAGCATTCATGGTGCATACTGGGAATTGCAGTTCACAGCTTGGGAATCTACCATCACTGAATGTAGTGGAGTACAAAAAACAAATTAGTAAATCAGTGTAAACAAATTGGTTTTACATGTGTACCATACTATATAAGTTGTTTGTTCATACATTTGGTCATAAAGTTTAACACACACATTTGGAAGGAATGATCTAAAATCTAGATGGTTAAAGTTCCTACACAGTTTCCTTTTGCCAAATCTCAAAAAGTACAAAAGCTCCAAGATCACAACAAACACCTGTTGCACATCTGACAGATTTGCTTATGGAATATGTTAACCATAATAAATCACCTAACAACAATTAAGAGAATTTTACATGGTTACCCCACTATCAGACTACAGATATCTACAACATCCGTTGATCCTTATAAACGTAATTCCAAAAAATATTTCACTATTTTGCAGATGCATGACCTTATTAACTCACTAGAAGAGAAGCTGAAAACAATGCAGCAAAAGGTTTTTGAAAACTTTAATAAAATTAATGAGCAGTGGAAGTATATCAGTAAAAAACAATGAAATTGTTACATTTAAAAGGAAACTTAATATCTCAAGAACAAGAGACAATTAAACAAAGACGAATTTTGACTTTTAAAAAAATTACACCTAAAATCAAATTTTATACAAGCCTTCTGTTTTATCAGGGTTTTTAAATATTGTTTGACTAAAGAGAGGATTACCTATCACATAAAATATGTATACTTATAGTTTAATATGTGTATAGTGAAAAATGTATAATTGGAGTGTGCATTTTTCCCAGATTATTATATATATATTATTCACACACAGTAGTAGCATTTGTTAAAAGCTTTCACACATAAAGTTAAAATGAATATTTTTTTTACATTGGAAAAAAAAAAAAGAAAAGAGAATTGACTTAAATGTAGGGCTTCCTTCACTAAAAGGTATATGTGTGTTCTTCATGGTGTTTGTACATATGCTAGAGTTTTTACAAGGAAATATAACTTATAGTTTAAAACCAGCACTGCTACTGAATTAAGAATTATTTAAGAATTATTTTGTGGACCAGCAGATGTATAGTTAGTAGTCATAAGATCATCTGTTTCAAACAACAATACCTTATCACAAGGATTATGTTAAACTGTAGAGACCATTTCATTGAGACACCTTCCATGAAAAAAAAAATTCTTAAAAAAAAGTTTCAAACAGCTAAAAAGATAGCTGGCATCACTCCTATTAGACTTGTATTTTTGGCATCAAACTTTGCTGAGAACTACAATTTCCAGAGTGTAACATACAGAAAAAAATGAACACATACTAACTTGAACATGGTTGCAGTTATTAAAAAAAACAAATTAGATCAGTACTTGTCCACTAAACAGAAAGAGAATAATAGTTAGATATTCACTAATGTCTGCATTATATTTTTTAATTTCAATTTATCTTGTTCATATGTTAATATCTGACCTTTATCAGTGCTCATCCAGTGATGATTTATCGTGACATACTCATAAATAAGTGAGGGTTAGCACATGTTTTTTAACAAATCATTCAACTCTCTCCCAGTATGCCCAGTGCAAAAATAATCCCAGTGAAAACATTCCATTAAATATTCAGTGGCTATCAATTTAATGAGAATATTTTCAGAAATCATGAAACGTACATTTACACCAGGTTTAACTATATATATTACGAAAGTTTAATACAGAAATTCTTTCACTCAATGTTGATTTATTAACATGATTTTTTTTAACTTCTCAATTATAAAATTGAAAAAAGAAAGAAAAAACACTGGAAAATCTCAAATGTTTTTATAAGTGGTTATGTTTTGTACGAAATTCTTCTTTGCAAGGCAGTATGACACCTCACCTTGCATCAGCAACAAAGGGAAAAACCCCATTGTAGAAAAACATGATTGTGATGGCCAGGAGCCAGTAGGAAAGTGAGAAGAATCGAATGTCTGTTATATGCTGAAATACAAACATTATACAGTCAGTTTGTGTATAATTATATATTTTGTAATGAACTTCATCATGAGTAAGATTCTTAACCAAACATAAGTAAAAAAAGACACAATGAAACATTCAGTCAAAGAACTGAAATGCCTAGAGAAACATGAGAAAAAAACCAGGTTCAACATTTATAGGGATATTGAAGTATAAATCACTGATGTCAACAGTTGTAAGCCACTGGTTCTACTGCAGTTAATGAAACCGACAGCACAGACCATATCCTGAAATATTAATAAATGAACAAGCTTCTGATCTTCCTTTAGAAAAAGCTTAGACAGAGGAGAGTATACTTGAAAGGCATTGTTAATGGACTGTATCTGCCTAGAAAGTATTTTGGATAATGCTTCAAGCTGTTAGTGCAAATTTTCATCAAGTGATATTGCTTAGGTTGGTCAGATTTTATCAGGTAGGAGTGCAGCTATAATTGAGAGCTTCATGAGTTGGAACAAAAGTACAACAAAGTAGGATTTAGAATGACAAGAACATGGCCATAAGGAAGAGATCCAGTGAGGATGTATTCCAACATCATCATAGTCAATCTGGAGTTCAAGCTGTGTTGACACAGTGTTTATGGTCTTGTGACAGGGAATGGGTCCAAAGTTCATTGAAATCCAAGGCTTGAACACAGTTAAGAAATGGTTGATAAGTCTCAATGTAAAAATATTCCTAGTTTTCCAGTCTCTACTATTTGTAGTTGGTTCCAGTAGATGATATGACTGATGTTTTAATTGTGCTCAGCTAAGGTGGATTTTTCCATTAAAGAAGACTGCTGGCATTTTGACACTCTCTGACTTGTTTAATAGTTCAACCTGTTATTCCTATGTGGTCTTTTTTTCACAATAATATTGTATTTTGTAGATAGTGTTGATCAGTTTAAATCTCCACTTGCTAGGTGTTTTATTTCTGTTTAAGAATGTTTTTTAATGTCTTACTGGATTTGAAATAGACTTTGATGTTGAACTTTTCAAAAATTCTTTTAAGTTTATAGCTTATGTTTAGGATAAAAGGCAGAACTGCAATTTTCTGGGGTTGAATCTATGTATATTGAAATGAATGATCTTTTCTCTTGTGTGATTGGAATAAAACTGATGGGGCAACCATATTTATGAAGGACTTTGTTCAAGTGGACTGGAGCTTTCTCCTATGGCCATGCTATTTTCATTTCCAATTCTACTTTTATTTCCAACTCACACAGTTCATGAATACAGCAGCACTCCTACTTGATAAAGTCTGAACAACCTAAACGATTTGACCTTAGAACACAGATATATGGCATCAGAAAAGAAAAAGAGAGATGACACCAAAAATTTCCAAAATGTTTTTAGGACCACTCAAACATTAAATATAACCATTACATGTTATAGGTGGATTTAAAGAAAAAGATGATGATTCAATTCAAAGACATTTTATGAACATCATAAAAATGCTATCTTAACATTCAACTTTTATGTATGCGAGTCAAAACTCTCTTGTCAAGAACTCCTACAAAGCTCATATTTTACATATTACTACAAATGGACTTCATTATTTAGAAGCAAAAAGTTTATAATAAAAATCATTTTACTCCATACAAATTCTAACCCACTGTAGTATTTAAGCATCAATCACAACAATCTATTATTTAAACTTACTCAAAAAAATATATATATTTATAAATAACCAATATAATGTGATTTACAACTTACCAATTTTTTTGATTCAAGTGCCAAAACTGAACTTCGCCCTAGCTGATTAATTCCCATTATGTCTAAAAAACTTACAGCAATTCCAGAGAAAAATCCAATAGCACATAACATAGCTCCTAAAAACAAGATAATAATACACAATTTTACAACTGTTCAAGAAAGCAACTTTTGTTAAGAAAATTGTTATGATTAGTAAATATATTCCAACCAATGATATCAATACACATAAAGATAATTTTAGGCAACAAGAAATTAAAAACTATGAAACTACCTATCCTGAAAGCAACAATGATCAAATATTCATAGGTTGAGGAAAATACCTTCCTAGCTAATTTTTACTAATAGACTGTTAGATAAGTTTAAGTCAGAAAATAAAACCTCATATTAGAGTGCTTTACTGAGAAAAACTTCTATTTAAGCAAATCTCAAAATAAATGTGTTGGTGTACAGTATTTAACCTGCAAATTAATAAAATATATAGATACCTATCCAGAGAGTCCATGAAAGACCATACTCAGCATACATGTTTCCTGTGGTGAAGAAATTCAGCACACTCCCTAGTCTTGAAAATGCCAGGGTAATGCCAAATGCCAAAGCAAGTTCCTTTCCTTTGAACCAGAAGGCTGTAATACGGTTCTGGACAACTGAAAAACAAAATTCTAGCTAAAAAACAAATTACATTTTTTTCCTGAAGCTTGTAATATTAAAATAATTGTTTCTAGCTGAAGCTAAGAAATTTTGAAGCTGGATAAGTAGTTCTTACTTGTGAGGGAGCCATTTCCTGCACCAAACAAAAGTCGACCAAGCAACATGATAGGCAGTAAAACTGATGTCCCAGGAAACATCGCTCCCAGGGCAAATATTGATGATCCCAGCACACAAAAGGATGAGAAGAGAAATATTCCCACTAAAAAAATAATAATGTCAAGTGAAATATTTAAAAGATAATTTAAAAAAATTTAACATAAATGTTTATGTATATATGACCTCTACTGTAAAATAGCATCATATTTTTTAAATAGACAGTGAATGCATAAAACAAAGTATACAAGGTGACAGCAGGTACTCCTTCATCAGTACATCCATAAAATAATCTAATTATCAACACACAAAAATATAAACTAGTATACTCTAAACAAATACAATTGTAGCAGATTTTTGTTAGCTAAAAATAAGTCTTAATCTTGTTTGTAAAGCCTAAACAAATAACAGGTTACCATTACTAAACACATTAGACCAAAAGTCAAAAATTTTTTCTATGTTTATTTTTTCCTAGCGATTAGACTGGTTCTTTAGCTCTCTTCTGTCTGATTTCTGTCAAATATTTCTAAAAACAGTTTGTTTTGAATTTTGCACAAAGTTACTTGAGTGCTCTCTGCACTAGCCATCCCTAATTTAGCACTGATAGACTAGAGGGATTAGAGCTACTCAACACCACCCACCACTAACTCTTGGGCTACTCTTTTATTAAATAGTGGGATGGACTGTCACATTATACCACCTCAATAGCCATAAAAATGAACATGTTTGGTGACGGAGAATCAAAACTGTGGTCCTCAGATTGTGAGTCGAGCACCCAAACAACCAGGACTTGCCAGGCTATTTCACTGATAAAAACCATTTTGATCATTTGTAGCAAACTGGTGAATTTATAATTCATTAAATAGCTGTTCAGTAAAAGTGGACTGAAAAATAGTTAAGCACTATAATAATATGTTGGCAAAGGTATTTAATATAGATATTAATTATTAGAACTTGGCACTTAAACTGATTGGCATCACATAAGTATTACTGATTAACTTAAAATAAGTTTAAACCAATTAATGTAAAAAATAATCGAACATTGCCATCATGATTCCTTATTATTGCTATTTTTTATTTATTCAAGTTTCAAGGGTATAGTGCTCTTCTGAGGATCTTTACAGACGTAATTACATTGTCAAATAATAAATTACACCACACAAGTTTATTTTTTTAAAGTTTGTTCAGTTTATGGCTGGAATGGCCTGGTGATTAGGGTGTTTGTCTCATGAACCAAGTTCACCTTTTCAGCCATGGGGTTGGGAGGGGGGGGGGCACTACATTTGTTCTTGAGTTATGGCAAAGGTACTAAAGCTATCTACCACCTTCTAGTTGGTAACCATTGTAAACTCTTTACCAATAAATAGGACTGACTGTCACATTACATCAACTTTGTAGTAGCTTCACCATAACTCAAACATATTTGTTCACTTTCACAACATCCATACAAGCTGAACTCACATGCAACACAATAGCTGTTGTTTTTGTTTACCTTTTTTGACTAAACAACAACATACTTTAACTTAATATACTACTTACTTACTACAAGCTACAATGTTACCTGAGATAAAACTGCTTTAACCCTCTTGGAACAGGTAGGTCAAAGTATGCATGAAATTAACGAGATTCCCAATGTCCCTATCTACTATCTAGCGAAACCACAGCCAAGGGAACGGACTTGGAAAAATCAAAAGTTGTAGTATGACTAATATTATGGTTACCTAAGTGGTTATGATTTAGGTAAATGCTTGGAGTGATTTCATTGTCATGAAATTATATTTTATCTGTCACATACTGTGGCAAACATCTTTACTAAATTTATCATAGGTTATCTAAGAACAGTTATTTTTAATGAAGAATTAGCTTTTAGTTTTAGTATAGTAGTACTGCAAACATTTGTAGGATGAAACCTACAGAACAGTATTACTCATATTTTCAGCTTGTTACAGGTTTTGTACTAAGTTGCATATACAATACATTTTCATGTACAACAGTTTAGAATTAAAAATGTAACTTAATCTTAGATTGCTATACCTGGAAACATCAACCATATTAAATGAAGAGTAATTTTAATAAGTCTTTAAAAAACCAAAACAAGTTAAAAATAGAAATAAAGCCTCCTGCAAAAGTAATAAATTAGTTCAGTGCAATCAAATTAATGAGCACCCAATAAATCAATTAGGAAATTCCACTAACTGCCCAGCTCTAGTAATTATACTAAAACAAGAGTAATCAGAGTGAATGCATACTTTCGCCCGCTGCCCCTTTTTGAGATTGCATGCATTTATATTGGATAATGTCAAATTTCACCTTCGAAAACTCAGAAAATCCTCAGATCCAGAATTACCAACGATCTAGATAATTTTTTGTACTGTGTTGAGGAGTCTCAATCTTAATGTGCTCATGAACTTTAGTACAAATCTGATCACACTTTACAGAGTTATTAACCCAAAACCATGAAAATTTCCTATCTCCTCATTATAAAAAAAATGCTTCAAAGTAATCCAGAATCCAAATCTGTACCAAATTTAGAGAAGACTGTTCCATACCACCTTCCCATCTTGTGTAAAATGTTCGTGTAAATCAGTCTATTAGCTTTCAAGATATGCACGTGGAAACACAGACAGACAGACAGAAAGATGCACACACACGGATGCCATTGCAATACCCTGACCTTCCCTCTGAGGATGAGGGTAATTAACTAAACAAAACAAATTTTTACTTTGATTGTGAAATTTCTTTAATAAAAATATACTGGATTAAGTAATTATAAGGCATTCCTTTTTTGAAAATTCCTAGTTCTGACAGCAATTTCATCAAAAAATCAAAATTACCAAACATCAATTTTATTCTTGATGATTTTATTATTGTTGAAAACTGGTGAAGAATACTGAGTTTTTAATCTAATTTGCAAATACTTTGGTAATTAAAACTGGACTGGTGAGGTCTTGAATTATAAAACTTACAAAATCCTCTATTCTCTACAGACAGAGAATAAACTATTAATGAAGTAACTTACATCTATTTCCCAATTTATCCACGAGAAATCCTGCTGCAATCACAACAATAGCATTCCTAGATCAAGAAATTAGCTTTAGTTTAGTTTTTTTATTTATATATTAAAAAACTACTACAAGGTTTTAAAATTCTGTATTTCCATAAAAATCATTAAAAATATCTCTAAGTGCAAAAAAAAAGTTATTAGGAATAGGAGTCTACTTCATACTTCCTAGTCAATGCAGTGTTGTCATGACATTCCAATGGATGAGATGCATAAACAAGACAAACATTTACAAACATTTTTAACTTGCATGTATGTTTAAAGCTGTGTTCACTAATACAGCATCATGATCCATGGTTCAATTGTACTGAAGTCTTTACTGCTATAAAACAAATCTTACACTAACACACTACTTTTTTAATTATCAGTCCTAATTTTCTATTAACCATTTCATTGTGTTGGGACATATGGCACGATACCTATTTGTGATCTAACGATACATTGAAATATGATATACGGCAATATTTTATAAATTCATACAATACATGACACAGGGCTTATTTATAGCTACACAACATTAAAGGTGTAAAAGCATGTTTCAATTTTTAGTCTACTACAGCTATTCATCTGCAACTCCTGAAATAAAAGTCTGATGTCCGTAATATTATGGTTACACGTGTGTATCCCAGAATGCAATGTATATGTTGTGTAGCATGCACTGGCAAGCAGCAACCATTAGTGAAAATTAAGAATCTGAAATTCATAGCCCTTTGATGCTTTATAGATCACCCATGTGGAAATATTTTAGGCTTGACAAAACTTAGTACCAATAACACTCAGTGCAGGCTGTGCATAAAAACCGTCAAATATCCAGGGGGAATAAAATGAAGATGTTGATGCATATATGCTGGCATCATACAATTTGCAAAGAGTGTACAGAAAACTGGTGAAAGGAACTGTCATACTTTGTACTTAATGAAAATTAACATTTTCCAACACAAATAAGTGGCAAATTACAAGACTAAAAAAATGTACATAATGTCAACATATTGCACAACAAAACTTGATTTATTAAAAAAAAAAGAGAGGCGCAGCTCCCAAAAACAACTACATATTTTCGTGATGCATTACGCCATTTTTTGATAAATCTCTTGGGGGGGGGGGGCTATGCCTCTTTTTTTGGTAAATCAAATTTTGTTTGTGAATTTGTATCTTTTTTGTGCACACTTACCATCTAACTTAGTTAAGTGTTATATTCTTTACTGCTTAAAATTATTTTTATGCTATATAAACTGAGATGAGGGCAAAGTTATGTGTCTTGACATGTATCATACTATGCCTTTTGTACTGCAATATGTATTGTATTGTGTGCCCAATGAATCGTCTAACCACCCATAAAATCAGTGGCATAAATAAACTTTCTTTTCCTACATCCTTATACTCATTACTTTATCTTGGTTATGCATATCAGAGTAATCCCAAAGTTTTCTGATGTATGTATGTTGTGTACATCATATAAGAAAGATGTGTGACTACTGCATATCTTCTGTAGGATAACATGCTTTCACAACAACTCTGGGATAAGTTCTGCAGCTTTTCTGACACTCACTGCTTTCATTTCTTAAGGATGATAGAAAAAGAAGCCTTTGTACAACTTAAGGAAATTGTTACTCCTTTAAAAAGCTATAAAGAAGTTTTTTACCAGCATATGAACCATGCAAACTTATTATTTGTTAAAATAACTCTGTAATTTTCTATAAAGTATGTTTATTGGCCTTAATTGTCCTATAAATTCAATATTTCAATTGTTCTATTCATATTTCTGAATAAAACTCAAGAAATATGGTAAAACAAAAGAAAAAAAAGTACTGAAAATAAATGCAACTTTATCCTTCCAGCAGTATGTCTGTTCCAAACTCTTAGTAACTAAACATTCAACATATCTTAGTTTGCAAAATTAGCTGAACTATGATTACAAAGTTACATGTAAAAAGGTATAGCACAATTATTTTGTGCATTCATATTCTTTATGGTACTTTATGATGACTTCGGTACAGTGTCACTCTGTAAATAATACAATATTCAGGTTCAGCTTCTTTCACAAACAGCAGGTTAGAAGTGAGCACGTGTGGTAGTTTGAGCTGTTTAAAGGTACTTTACTAGCAAGTGCTAAAGGGTTATGCCTTTAGTAGCTCAGTTGGTAGAACACTCTTTGGTAAGCAAGTTCTTGGGTTCAATATTGAGCTGAGGAAATCACTACAGATAAACTGGCACCACCATCCCACAACACTGAGACAAGGACTGAGGACAGGCCTTGTTCATAGGAGATGGGGTTATGGTAATTTGAGTTGTTAAAAAAGTGCCTTACCAGCAAGCATTAGTAGGTTAGCCCTTCAGCTCAGTTGGTAGAGCAAGTGTCTGGTATGTGAAAGGTCTCAAGTTCAATACCGAACTGAGGAAATTACCATACATGTATTTCATACATAACTATGAAGAAGTAAAAATGCACAGATTTACATTGACAGATTACTGGAACCACAGAAAGTATTATATATCTTTGTCAAATCAGTACAATAGACAGGTGTCTGACATACTGACTTGAAGCCAGTGATCCATAGTTTTCTGCGACATTTGATAATCTTGTAGGTTTTGGGGAGGAGACAGGGATCCAATATCCATAGTCTCCTATCCAGGTGAGTCATGATCAGACATATTATATGGACCACTTCTATTCAATGGTTGAATATGGATTCACTATAGTCATCATTATCATTACAATCATAGGCAAAGCTCTATGACAATCTCAGTTATGGCCTCTATCTCAAACACAAAACCTTGACCTTTGCTTCTGCCACCATTGCTTGTTTTAACCCCTGTTGTTAGTCTAATACCTCTTCCCATTTAAAGAATCATGACCAATGCTAGAGTCAAACTCACATTTTTTCACCTCTTGGTTGAAAACACTATCTTCTTTTTCACTTTCATCAGAGTTTGTAATATCTGGATATTAAGAATCTTCTTTCTTTTGCTTCTCTAACAAGGATATCCCTTACTTCTGGACCTGTATATCACTTTTTAGACATTATAAACTTGAAAAAACAAAAAGCTGGGATCATCTATACTTTCACTTGTATGAGTCTTAACCCAGATGTTTGAATACTAGATGCCTGTAAAGTGTGCACTGCATGTGTGTGTGTGTGTTTATATATATATATATATATATCAAGATGAATAAACTGTATAAATGAATACAGCAGACCTAAAAATGTTTGAGTGCTAATAACATACATGAATATGATGTTACAAACAAAGAAGTCTGCATGACATAATAAATACCTGTTTATTGGCTATGAAACTATGTAGTAAAAATCACAACATTATAATAAAATTACCAAAAAAAAAATTTGCACAGGAATAAGCACTGCTGCCACTGTAAATAGGTTAATGTTGTTGATACTGTAAAATAGGAAATACCAAATGTTTGACATAAACAGGTAACAAGTTTTTTAAACAACCTTATCAAAAAACTGTTTGCAAAAATTCATAATTTTGAAAATAATTATTTGCCCTAGAGTTGAATGAAAAAATGGGTCAATCTTATGGCTAATCTAAAACCATAAAAGAAAAATAAATCATTATAAAATTCAGAACTTCATGTTATATATACACACAAAATACTGTTAATTATTCCATAGCATATGTTTATTCCAGTTATCTATTTTAGTTATTTTTCTAAGTACTACTATTTAGCAATGATAAAACATATCATACAGCTTCTTAGCACATCCTCAGTTATACATAATCAGCTATAAACACAGAATGTATGGTACAGTCTGGGAATTGAATAAAAGACTGAAAGAAGTCAAGTGCATTCCTATTCTACTTACGTCCATGCATAGATAGCATAGAGTAAATTGTACTCGTCTGGGTTCATCCCTAGACAGTCTACACAACAGGTAGTATTGGTACTATTCACTTCTGTCTTGTTGTCTTTCTCACAGGTGAAATTCTGTAACATATTTATTTGGTGTGGCTTAATTAAAGATATTAAAATGTCACAAAACATCAAATTTCAGAAACAAATTACTTTTTAAACCTAAATAAAAATTACTAAGTGTGCTCAGAAGTCATACATTAAAAAGTTTCCTTTTCAAAAAATTTGATTATTGTTAAGCACTGAACACTATACTGACTTTTAAGGTATGCAAAAAAACATTTGATTTTATAAGCTAAGTTCCTGGAAAATAGCTGTAAAGCAGTGTCACTAAAACAGACAAAATACTGTACAAAACATTTGAATTTCATTTAATTCATCTATATATTAGGTAAAAATAGAAGTTTCTCCAATACTTTGTATCTTTTTATCATTAACTCCCAGACAATTAATCATCATATTATGCTAAGTAACTGAACTATAAATGTGCTAGACAATACTTTCACATACAGTCAGTTCTTATCTGAATAATATATATGGTAATGAGTTAATAATTTGTCAAGCTTCATAGACCTTACCCCTTGAAACTGTGACTGGAGAACACTGGGCATATCAAAACAAAAGTAGGATCCAAATGTCAATAAGCAGTTGAAGAAGAGTATGATGAACCTAAAGTATGCTTCACAGAACAAATATGCATTTTAATTATTGAATACACTTATGAATTAAAATATATATTATTTACACAATCTGGTAACATGCATTACAAAGATTGAATTTTAAAACAATTTAATAGTTTAAATTCATTGTGTAACAAACAAAAGTGACAATATAATCTAAACCACAGACTTTTCAACACTTTACTGTCTTTATGTTAATATGTCATTAGAAATGGCTTAATATACATATACGAAATCTAAAATAAATATGATGATTATGAGTTAAGAAGTGACAATGCAGTAGACATAAATACACAGTAAGGAGCATGTGGACCCATCAATAAATGTTAAATGGGAGATCTGTATGTGATGTTGAAAAAACCTAAAACATTAGGATAGAGGGAAGAGACAAACGAGCCCCAAGTGTCACAGGAATTGGCAGAATTTGAACATATTCAACTGGGGACCTGCACATAAGCAGTCAGTGAACCAATATGCACAGTATGGTTAGGGCATGGACAGGCCATCTGGTGTATGCTCACCTTGACTCTACTGGACAGACTCTGGTTGCAGAAGTAGGGCACTTGAGCTGTTTGAGAGGTAACCTGTACTACACGGACAGTGTTACTACTGCCCTACTTTACACACTATTTTCCTAAGCCCAACCGGGAATTCTTCCAAATGTTTAGGATAAGTGGCAAAGGTTTCCCATGCTCCACTTGAAATGCAGAGGGAATTTGCATTCATTGTCCATGATTGGGAATCTCTTCTCGAGAATTTGTCATAGTGGTGAGACCATTCCATTACCACATACTCATTTGAACTATCTGGACTGTATTATTCCATGGAATTGTGCTGTCTCCAGTAAAAGACCTTTCTGGCAAGTGGACCAATGGGGATCTGGATAATTCTCTGGGTCTCCTCAATTCCAAGCAAAATTCCACTGTGCACACCCCAAAAGAATGAGTGGTTTCAGGAAAGCCACAGTCCTCAAAAGCAAAAGACTTTCTCATGCATGATTAAAAGTAGAAGCACAAGTCTTGTGACCAAGCACTCCATAGTCTGCAGGCAAAGAGGTGAAGGCCAAGACAAGAGTTGAAGAAAATGCCCAGATGTGGGCATGAGAAAGGACTTGAAAATCTTGACAAGCCATCCCAATTGAGCAGCCTCCTACAGAAAAGGGAGGTGGGAGAAGAAGATACCTCTTGAGAATGGGCCAAGAGAAGCCAATTGTCTATGTAGAAATGGAATCTCTGCCCCAGGCCTAGAATGCAGTGAGTGAGGACTTCATGATTTGATTGAATACAATAGAGGCCCACACTATGCCAAAAAAAAAGATCACAGAATTGTAAGACTTGAATTTGATGGATGAAAGTTATAAAACATCTGGAGACAGGGCAATTGGGATGTGTAGGAAAATGTCCAACATGTCAATCTTGATCATCCAGAATGGGTGAAAAAGACCACCAAAGAGGAAAGAAATTGTCCATTTGGAACCATGAAACAATCAAAAATCAGTTGAGAGATGACAGATCAATTACTGAATGCCAGTCCCCAGTTTTCTTGGGAAGCACAAAAATGAGAGTAAAACCTGGAGAATGTGAGTATACCCTCTCAATGGCATTTTTAACAAAAAAATCCAAAACAACATCCTCAAGATGCTGAAGATGAACAGGGTCATAAGAGGAGAAAAGAAAGTGGGAAAGGAAGAGAGGGGCGGAGAAGTGAAGTGGAGAGAAAAAGAGGACTAATGACAGGATGCTTCAGCCAAGGTCTCCAGTGAATGAAGAACACCAATGAAGACATCTGGTCAAAGAAAGAGAGTCCAAAAAAGATGACACAGATAAGAAGTAAGTAGGTGTACATTAGTGAGGAGTGCATTCTAACCGAGCAAGTCACAACAGCAGAGGAGCCAAGTAAGAGGGACAGTGAAGAAGTGGTAAAGGTGAGGGTGGTAACAAGAAGGGAATGAATCTCCCCAGAAAACCCCTCTGAAGCATGATGAAGCACCTCAGACATAAGGTGTAAGAAGAGAAGTAATGTAGGATAGTAAGAAAAGGATGAAACTGTAAAAATTAGGTACCACAAAGGAAAACAGAGGACAAGAAGTCCACTTCCCAAACAGACAGAGATCACAATGACTTGGAATCTAGAAAAGTAAAAAAAGAATAGCTGTAAGCCACAATAAAAAGAATCAAGAAGGCAAGGAGAACAAAGCACATGGATACAGGTGTGAAGTTGTGCAAGAAAAGAATCAGCATGAACCCTAATATCAGCCAACGAGAGAAATACCAAATAACCCCAAGTATTAGTTTCATGGAGCAAATAATGGGAAGAATCATAAGACACACCCAAAAGAGAAAGAAAGATACCTGAGAGATCATATCTTGAAATAGAATGGAAAGTTCAGGATTTGTCCTCAACCAGCAAGGATGTACCCAAAGCAAAACCAGGTGGAGAGAACAGTCGATCAAATTCCTCTTCCTCTTGGTCATTCTCAAACTGCAGAGAAGGGGTATCACAGGACAGGAGGAGAAGGCCCATTATGCATGATGGGTCCTACAACACACTGTAAAATGGCTGTAACTTCCTAAACAGTTAATGAGCCACCACAAGCCATAATAGAAACAGGTCCTGTGTTTGTACCATCATCACTTTCATAGGGCAAAATAGAAGGAAGGTTCATACCTGAGAAACCATATTGTGAAATAGGATGGAAAGTTGAGGACTTGTCCTTGATCAGTAAGGCAGTTGCACCCAAAGCAAAACCGGGTAAAGAGAACAATCAATCAACTTTGTCTTCCTCTTGGTCATTCTCAAATTGAAGAGGTGTCAGCCAAAAGGAAGGAAGAAGGAGGCCCAGTAGGCATGAGAGATCCCACAACATGCTGTACAATGGCTGTAACATTCCAAACAATTAACAAGCCTTCAGAAATCTTAGTAAAAGTAGATCCTGTGTTTGTAACTTCATCACTGTTATAGGACAAAGCAGAAGTCACTGTCACTTGAGAATTTATAAATAATGCAATACTTTTGAAACAAAAGCCAATGTTAAATGAAAACTAGAGTTTTGATTACCATTTCTAAATCTTAGTAAGTTGAATGTATATGAGAAAAATTAACTCCTTTCAATGTAATGCTGAGGAAAAGAATGAAGTTATATTGAGTGCCAATGCTTTGGGGAAGTTACTGCGACATGGAGGTTGTGTCACCCTCCTATTAGTGGAAGGCTATTGTCACATGATAACAAAATGCACCAGCACAGTTCATATTAAAAACATAAGTTTAGAAGGGAATTAGCTCAAGGCTAGTGGCTTGCAAATCTCTTAGGCAGATGCATGAGGAATATAGCTGTTCTGTGTGAAGAGGTGATGTATCATCTCAGCAAATCAAATTTTCCACATATGTGATATTTAACGTGTGACTACTATTCAAATATTGTGAAACGGTTTCTGTTAACTAGAAAAAAATAACCTAACACTGCTTGAATGCTGTCTGACAAATGTTTAAGAACTATCTTCAAATTCCTGGCTAACAAATGAACCTTCAAACACAGCCTTACATGATCTTTAAGTTCTGAGTGGAGTGAATCACTGAAGCTTTTATCTGCAGGAACTGCTACACTGATTTTGTCAAAAAATATATCCTCAGATAAGTTTCCCAACACTACTTCCAAGGCACTTTCCTCAAAACATTAACAACCAAAGTTTTTTCCAGTTTCCCTCTCTTACAGAATGTGTGTGTGTGAGAGAGAGATATAGCAATATAACCTTCATAATGACAATGTAATAAGGATAGAAATTTGTGAATTAGCATTTTACTGATTCAAAATGATAGCTTTTAGCTCACTTTGCACTGGAATATTGTTGTGTATATAATATAATGACTAATTTTATACTACGATAATCTTATTCTCCACTGCCTCTTTCAAGTGACAGTACTGGCCAGGTAAGAAAAATTACTGACAGACATATTAAAATTTTCTTAGTTGCACCAAGTTTTCTGGGTTGAATGGTAAAGGGGAAACAAAAAAATAATTTAATTTAGGCCTAGAAAATTATTATGTTGTAAACAAGTTATAAATCCTTTATCTTCATCTATTCCTCAGTCATGCAATTGTTTTTATACTTTAAAGAAAGTTTATATACTATTAGAGGACATAAGGTAACAGTCATTCTGTTTTTATTTATATTGCTCTTCCTACCATCTTTTTTGGATTGCTGGTCCTTCTTCATAAACATCTTCAGAAAATGAATGTTATGTTAGTGATCATATGGCAAAACACGAATTGTTTCCTGTCATGTTATGCTTTACTGTTTTTATCAGCATCAGGGCATCAACAACCAAATATCGAAGCTATTGAATTCTCTTGTGTTATTTCCTAGAAGTTCATTCTTCCATTAACCTGACAAGAGTTTTTATGTTATACACTCCTGTTGCCTTAAAATGTCTCTTGATTTTATCATATTATAAATTTTTGTTAGATGCCACCTATATGCTATTGTAATGACTACAAAAAACATCCTTGGCACTAATGCAAATATTTATTTTTGCTACACCTTGTATTTGCAACACAGAAGTTATCTGCTCCTTCTTTAACAAGATGGCTTAGCTCCTTGTACAAAACAGTTATGAACTCAATGAGGAAGATCATTGCCAAAGCAGGGTGTCTATAGAACTAGGAAGATCAAAATGCATGAATATGTATGCCTTTTGTAGTTAAAATTGTATGATTCTGTACAATCTTTGTTGGTAAAATTGAGCAACTTAAATTGCATATGATTTGCAAGTGGTTGTATATTTGTGCTACTTTTTTTGGGTGACCACAAAATTGAATAAAATGCAACAAATACTGATCAAACCATAAATTTAATTTTTTTTTGTTACCACTACCAAAAGGCCTGTTGAAATTAGAGCTGAAATATGCTACATGATAGATATGTGAACTAAGACATAACAAATAACTTGAAAGAATAAATTTTAGCTTTCTTTTGTAAAGCAATTTTTGTGCAATATTTCAGCTCTAATTCTGAATGGGGATTGGACATAAATCAAATTAAATACAACTTTATTTCTTCTTTTCACCCCTACCAGTTGAAATATGCTACATGACACATATATGATCCAGGATATTTAAGGATATTTGTCAACCGTAAAGCAGTTTGTTTTGTAAATTTTCAGCTATAGCTTTGGATGGGGATTGGCCATGAATACAAAGATGACTCTGTAAGTCATGATTTGATGATCAAATGGGTGAACATTCCATATTTTATGTAATCTGTAGCTAAAATGCCTGACTTCACATGACTTTTTTGTATGATCGTATGGCCTTCTAGACACCCTGCAAAGACTTACTCTCATCAGTTATAGCAGTGTTTCCCAAATTATTTTAGTCTGAGGCTCCCTTGATGTGAATAAAAGTCTGAGGCCCCCCCAGCCTATAACTTTGGCATGGTGATTGAAAAACAGTGCCACAGTAAAAACAATAACATCTCCTTTTGACATACTGTATCATTTAATTAATTCCATATTTTTTTTTCAGCTTATTGCTCACTTAGAATTCAAATTAATTCAGAATCTTTGTTTTTGGACCATTTTTTTGGCAGCTCCCAGATAAAGCTTCACAGCCCCCACTTTGGGAAACACTGAGCTATAGCATCTAGCTGCTGCTTTGTGTATGTATTCATTATAGAATTGGACAATTAACTCAACTGCCTATAAGCATCTTTTAGTGCCATATAAATTATCAATTAATCTAAATTACAATTTAATCAATTAATGTCATGAAAATAATCAACTAATCAAAATTAGTGTTTCTAATTGTTACTATTTTTGATTATTCCAACTATCCATGTAATTCAAATATTGCAATTATGATTTCTCATTACAATTGTTTTCAATTAACTCAAGTTTGTTCAGCTTTGGGTTGATCTGGTGATTAGGTAGTTGTCTTAGGAGTCAAAAGTTCGATTCCCATTACCATCAAACATCCTCACCCTTTTAGACACAGGAAGTGTTATACTATTCCTTGTTTTTGAGTTATGGCAAAACTGATTAGGCTGTCTGCCAGCATCTCTAATTATGGGCTACAGACCAGAGGGAAAGTAACCGCCTAGCAACACCTAACACCAACTCTTAGACAACTTTAGTGTTAAATAAAGTGTACATTTACTGTTTTTTTATTTTTACATTTTGTTTATAATTTATAATTAGCACAACTGTATACTTTAGTGTTAGATAAACTACAAATTAACTTTTTCTATATTATGTTTTACATTTATAGCAAAACACTTCTTACTCTCCTGAATTTGTGTTCCAGTGGAAGTTGTCGCAGGCAATAGCACACCTTAAACCCACATTTTTAATAAACAACAGCAAAATCAATAAATTAATACAGCATCCAAACTTGCAAGTATCATTTTATTTAGGGTAAGAAAACAAAAACACAACATTTTCTTCTACATTGTACTTTATAGCCTAGAGAATATTGTAAAAACAAACTCTTTGATCAATTATGTACAGACTATGTACGTGTGTGAGTAACAACAATATAGCCTTCATAATGTACTATGACAAACATGAAAGTAATATGGATAGGAATGTGTGAATCAGCATTTTGCTGATTCAAAATAATAAATTTCAGTTTAAACTGTACCTAATACTAACACTCTCACTAGTCACAGTTATGTGTAATATTTTTGATTTATAATCAATGTCATGAAATAATATTTCCTTTCATGAACAAATATTCGTAGTTTTCGTACATTTGGGGAAAATTTGTAAACGGAAACACTAGGATAGTATTAATAGTCTTTGCAGATTGTTTTTAATGTTATTGTTAAGCTTACTCTTTCAAGTGTTTGAACTTAAGCGTTTCTTAATATGAGACGCTTTTATGTACAAAAGTTTATAAGGAAAGATATATGTACTTTAAAAGTTCAATAACATTTCATGGGTGTGTGGAAATACTTTGACCTGGTACTTGAACTTCAAGTTGAACTGTCACTTAACTCCTCAAGTCTTTGGAAGTTTAGTTTACAAACCTAATTCCCACATTTTGTTTTCTTAAATTGTTTCACTAGTACAAAAGAAAGCGTAAAATATGATGATGAGTCAATGATTTTACACAGTATAAATAACGCACTTTTCCCAAATCAAATAATACAACAAACCTTTATCTGCACTTAAGATCGACGCCATTTTTGCTAGAGAATACAAAATCGCCCTCTATTCAAACAATCTTCATTCCAAATCTGATCGTTATTTGGTTTGAGTAAATGTTTATCGTAGGTTTGTTGATAACAATGGCAAATATAATATAATAATGATTTATCTGAATTACTAATAACAGAGCTTATGCGAATGAATTAGTTATATATATATATATATATATTCCATTTTAATAGCTAGAGCTTTAGTTAGTGTACAAATATAACTTTGGGATAAAGTTCAAAATTATACTGCTGGATTATTACTAAGTAATAATAGTTTAAATTTAGAACACCTGATTTGGTATTACACCGAGCGTTCTTTAGAATTAGATATTAGAAGACTGCACCATACAATGCATATCTTGAAGTTGGATATGGAGATATCATTGTTGACGTAATTAGCTATCCTCATTATGCTGCTCATACCTCGAAACCCTGTAAATCCAGGTTGTTCGCTTTCCCTGGGCATATTGTTACGTCTCCGTTTGTTAATTGATTTTCCGTAAATTCGTTCCGACGAAACTTTAGCGACACAAGTCTTTTCTTAAATAAAACTGGTTTATTCTTTCCGAATGTAACTTTACGATACACTTAATTTCAACAATCGCGCTAAAACAAACGTTAACTTTAACAATACACTCTGACTGCAAATCAATTACTCACTGTCTACACACATATTGTCACGTCACGCTGTGACCATCTTATATATACCAGCATACCCCCAATTTAGTAAATGCTAGGGCATTCACGAAGAAA